GATGATGATGATGGTGGTGGTGATGATGATGCTGATGATGCTGACCTTGCACACGATGATGCTGGTCGGGTTGGTGATGGTGGGCGCAGCGATAATGGTGATACTGATATTATTGTTAATAATGATAATGATGATGGTACTGATGATGATGGTGATGATGATGATGGTGATGGTGATGATGATGATGATGATGATGCTGATGATGATGATGATGATGATGATGATGATGATGATGATGATGCCGATGATGTCGATGATGACGATGATGATGATGCAGATGCTGATGATGCTGATGCTGATTCTGTTGATGATGCTGCTGATGCTGATGATGACGATACTAACGATGCTGACGGTGAGGAGGAAGAGGATGAGGATATCGATGAGGAGGAACGGGACCATTAATGAGGGAGGCTGGATGAAGAGAAGGTCGGAAGGATGCTAGACGAGGGCTGAGAGATGATGGACCTATAGATGTAGGCAGGACGCACAAGGCATGATGTCATAAGCATAAGGCATGATGAAGGCATACGGCACGATGGAGGAGGGCTGAGGAAAGGAGTGATGAAGAATAGGAGGAACGGAGGGCGGAGGAAGGGAGGGAGGAGAGATTGTTCGGGGGTTTGTACGGGATGTAGCTGACTTTCAGAGGATTTCTTTGATTTGTTCGGATGGTAAACGTGTGTCGGTGTGCCTAGTCAGGTTTCTGCGGGCCGCGACAGAAGCAGGAAGAGGAGGAAGAAGAGGAGGCGGGGGAGGCAAGGCAAGAGAGGACAGATCGCGAAACGAGTAGGAGGAGGGTGGAGGAGTAAGGCTAGATGGATGGAAGAGGAAGGTGGGATGAGGAGGGGGGAGGGGGGGGGGAGGGAGGGAGGGATCCACTGAGGAGGGAGATGAGGACGCGGAGGATTCATGATGGGAGGATGAGACAGATTACTGCGGAGGAGGGAGTGGCGGGAGAGGAGGGATGAGGGAGTCCTCGAACCTTTGTTTTTTGAGGCGTTGGGGAAGTTGTGTGTGTGTGTGTGTGTGTGTGTTCCATGGCCTGTGGATGTTTTCGGAGGCGTGCGGAAGGTTTCGGATGGGTGGGACGACGAGCGGGATCAGGGCCAGAGTAAACCCAGGATGCATCAACGATGCTGCAATACCCCCTTCCGTCCTCAGTGCCATCCTTATAATATAATATCATACTTCGTTACACGTTGTCCTTTCCGCTGCGGGAGGCGATCCCTTGTGAGTGGCGAGCGCCCAATGGGCCTGTGCAGGCGATACCCGTGGTTGTAAAGTTACCCTCCATTCATCTAGCTAAACAGGCGCAGAGGGTTAATACCCTCCTCCTCCTCCTCCTCCTCCTCTACATCCTCCACCTCCTCCATCCATCTAGCTAAAGAGGTTCAGATGTTTCCAGGACGTTTCCAGCAATAGCCCTGTTCTCCGAAGTTGCGCACTTGGAATTCTTTACGCTTCGCGTATCCCCACCAGCCCATCTCACAACAGCAACTCTTGCGAAGCATGCCGACAGTGGGATGTTTTTCAGGCGTGTTTCCGCCTGCCCCCGCATATCTCCCCTGTTCCTCCTTCCTCCCGCCTCCTTGTACATCCTCCTTGTGGTGGGAGCGGGAGAAGGACGAGGCGGAGGAGGAGGGAGAGAAAGCGCTCCTCGTGGTTTGAGTCGTTCGGGCTTCTCGTCCTGGTGTGAGTCGTTCGGGCCCTTCTTCCTGGTGTGAGTCGTTCGGGCTGTGGTGGGCTTTCGGGTGTGAGTCGTTCGGGCTTCTCGTGGTGTGAGTTGTTCGGGCCCCTCGTCCTGGTGTGAGTCGTTCGGGCCCCTCCTCCTGCCCGTCCAGAAACGACGCCCAGGCGAGTAGAGGGTCGTCCTGATGGGCTTTTCGGCGTCTTGGGTGCCTCGGGGGGGCCTCTTTGGGCCGTTTGGGATCCTCTTGGGGGCCTCCTGGGGGCCTCTTGGGGCCATCTTGGGGCCTCTTGGTGCCTCCTGGGCGCTTCTTGGGGCCATCTTAGAGGAAATTGATCAAAGAAGAGGGGAGCTTTAATCAGCGCTGCCCCCTCAGAAGGCCAAACTGGGGCCAAAACCTTAGTAAAATCAATGATTTTGGCTTGAAAGAAGAGGGGAGCTTTAATTAGCGCTGCCCCCTCAGAAGGCCAAAATGGGGCCAAAACCGTAGTAAAATCAATGATTTTTGCTTCAAAGAAGAGGAGAGTTTTTTTTCTGGGCCCCCCCGTCGGGGCCAGAATCCTCGTGAGGGGTGTCGTTTTTTAGCCCTCCCAGGAGTCAAAAAAGACCCCTCCAACGACCCGCGAAAGGACCTCTCCAGGCCCAGGGGGAGGGGGTAGGGGGAGGGGTAAACCCCTCCCCGAAGGGGAAGAAGGGGGGGTGAGAACAGAGCGGGCTCTCTAAACCACTCACGCCCAAAGGGCTGGTGGGACTTCGGCTGACATGCTGACTTAGAATATGCTGCACGCAAGAGCTACGTGTTGAAAGCGAGCCAGACCCCATCCTTGCGCCCGTCCCCCCCTTTGCCCGAACAGCTGGTGAGACAGAGGTCCCGCGTGCCGTGCCATGCCCGCAGCCCAAAATGCGGCCAGTGTGCCGCCTGCGTGGAGTGCGGAGGCCCGCGTCGCCCCGCCGTGCCAGCGCTCGTAAGAGTGCGGCAGCTGTGCCCGCGCCGCGCCCGCGTGCCGTGCCCGAGCTCTGGAGTGGCAAGGCAGACGTGCCGCCCGCGCGTTGCGGGTCCCTGCGGGGCCGCGCGCGCGCCGCGCCCGCGCCCGCGCCCGCGTGCCGCGCCGCGCCCGTGCGCTTTTGAGGGCGGGGAGGGCCTCCTCCTCCTCCTCCTCCTCCTCCTCCTCCTCCTCCTCCTCCTCCTCCTCCTCCTCCTCCTCCTCCTCCTCCCCCTCCGCCTCCTCCTCCTCCCCCCTCCTCCTTCCTCCTTCCCCTCGCATCACCCGCTCTCCTCCCCCTCCTCCCCCTCCTCCCCTCCACCTCCTCCTCCCCTCCAGCTCCGGCTCCTCGCTCCTCTTCCTCGCCGCCCGTGCGCCGCGGCGGCGCCGTGCTCGCGTGCTCGCCGTGGTCGTGCAAGATAGGCCCGACGGGCGTCGCCACGCGTGCCGCCTGCGTGCTCCGTGTGGGGGCACCGCGTCGTGCGGCGCACGCGCCGTGCCCCGCGTGCCGCGCCGTGCCCCGCGTGCCGCGCCGTGCCCGCGGGCCCGCCGTGAGCCTCCTGGCGGCCTCTTGTGGTCGGGAGGGGAAGAAACACACACAGAGACACAACGAGTCGTCGATCTCCCAGAAAATATAAGGGAAACTATGGGAAGTGGGGGGGAGGACAGAAGCCCAGGAAAGTATGGGAAGATGTGGGGCCTCCTGTTATCTGTGTGCATCTATGTGTGTGTGTGTGTGTGTGTGTGTGTGTCCCGGGGCCCCTTCATTTTGGTGGTCTGCGGACGATCCCGGAGGTCATCTTGGGGCGGAGGGCTCTCAGTGTCAGTCGTGTTGCCCCTTTGGGCCTCTATTGGTGCCCTCTTGGGGCCGTCTTGGCTCGTCTCGGTGGCCTTGAGGGGCCTTGCTGGGGTCCCCTTGTGCTGTCTTGGGGCTTCCTTAGTGGCCTGTTGGGCCATCTTGCGGCGATCTTTAGGGCCTCCTCCTGAGCCGCCTTGGAGCGTCGGCAACCGGAAAAGGCGAGAACGCTCAAATTCGTCAGAAGAACGTTTTAGGACATCAATCATGTTAGCCAGCTTGGGTCCCAAACAGTGCGTTATTGCTCTGTGGGAGTGGGAGCTATGCCGTGTAGCTCAGGCCGTGTGAACAGGGGGCGAAAGCTATGGGGTGCAAGCTATTTGATGTAAGCTATGTCGTCTAAGTGAGGCGGTATGTGGCGAAAGCTGTGTCGTGTAAGCCCAGAGCACTGGGCGCCCACGAGGTGGCGCGGGCGGCAACGTGGCGCAACCTCGGCATAGCCCTCCAGCAGACGGGGCGCCTATGAGGTGGCACGGGCGGCAACGTGGCGCAACCTCGGCATAGCCCTCCAGCAGACGGGGCGCTCACGAGGTGGCACGGGCGGCAACGTGGCGCAACCTCGGCATAGCCCCCAACTGCGTGGCGCCCACGAGGTGGCACGGGCGGCAACGTGGGGAACACCCAGAGTAGTCCACCAACTTCTGAGCGAAGAGAAGTAAAGGCCCCTAAGTGCAAGCATCGCTTGGAGAGTTTGGACCTCTCGGGCGGCCTCTTGGAGCCTTCTTGGGGCGTATCGGGGGTCTCTTGGGCCGTCTCGGGTCCATCGTGGGCTGTCTTTGGGCCATCATGGGCCGTCTCGACGCTCTCTGGACTATGACCGTCTTGGACGCTTCTCGGGAGTCTTTTGCAGGTTCGTCGGGTCGTTCTGGGCAGGTTCACCGTCATGTATGCCAACGCGGCACACCTTGAGCACCCAGGATCACCCAGATATTCCGGGGACATCGCGGTCTGGCCCTTACGAATCTCACGCCCCGCGTTGTGCTGCATGCTGTTCGTATTTGATGTAAGTTGTTATGTCAAGAGCTGTTGATTGTATCGCATGGGCCTAGACGATATCCCAGAGCGACTCCGCAGAGTTGCACCATAGAAAGTCACCGGTGCCCAGTCGAACCAGTTTGTTGGTGAGTGGTAGTGGCGCGGTAGATCTAATGAGCGCCGACCAGTTGATCCTCTTCCTCGTTCTCCCTCACGCTCCCGGCTTCGTTCGAACTCGACAGGATCTCGATCAAGTACGGTGCGCAGCCTCAGGGAGTTGTCCGTCCGTCGCCGCAATTTCGAACATGCCACGACGAGGTGGCGGTCGTCATCGGGCCACGTCTTAGCCCTAGCCGGTAGGCAGGCAGCACCATTTCTCAGTGGCCATTTTGGCCCAAGGATCGACGGCGGGAGTCGGCTGTAGGGCTTGTAGAGCAATGCGTCCGGTTCCTGTGCCTCGTCGTCGCCCCAGCGCAGGCTGAGGTAGTCTTCGTCTCTGATGGCCGGCGCGCCCGCCGTCGACGCATCGGTGCTGATTGCTGTCATCGTGGTTCAGACCGTGAGCGTGTCCGCTGACCTGGCCAGGGAGGCCAGGGGATTCTTGGCTGCACACGCGTGTGACCACAGCTACTGCCCAGGAGCGAGCGGGTGGGGCAGCGCGTGTGCTGCAGTCGAGGAGTGTTCGGGCTGCCCGCAGTGCAGGCACATCTGGCAGGGAGCTTCGGCCGCAGCACGAGCTGCGGAGCCGTCGACCACGGCGGAGACATCGACGTCCACCTCAGCGCTCGTGTTCTCGCTTCTGAGCTCGGAAGCTGGGCGAGCGCTGCGAAAACCGTGGCTGCTAAAACGGCCCTCCCCGAAGGAATGAGGTCAACGGGCTTCTTCCCGGAAGGACGAAGACAATTTCCTGGAGGTCGAAATTAGCAGCCACGGATTTAGCAGCCCTTGCCTGGCTTCCGATGAGCGATGGCGACCTCTGCGCAGACTTCGGGACGCTGGACGTGACCGACGAGACCGTGTGCAGAGAGACGGCGAGGGGCAGCCTCGGCCTGGACGGCCTGCCGTTCTACTCCTTCCCGGGTCTAGATCTCTTTGGTTGCGTCTACAACCCAGTTTCGAAAGCGACCTTCTTCAGCCTGAGCAGCGGCGGGCCTTTCGAGAGGAACGATCATTTTCGATTCATCTGCATCGGGCAGACTACAACGTCCACCACCTCGACCGCCACTACCAGCAGCGCCACTACACTTTCTACGACGAGCACGTCGTCGACCAGCAGCAGCACTGCAACCAGCACGTCGGCGAGCAGCACAAGCGGCAGCAGCACGAGCATGACTACCGCGAGTCTGACCAGCAGCACCACTGCGGCTAGTACGTCGTTTAGCAGTACGAGTGGGACCAGCACCAGTAGCGTTACCATCACTACTGCGACAGCCACGACGACCTCCTACATGGACTACACGTTGCTGCCTCCCGGTCAGACGTGCCATGAGGCTGGCATGCAGGACATACAAGTGTCTGCAGAGTGTTTTGGCCCTGCCATGGTTTCCGTCAACCTCAGCTCCGCTGGAACTCAGGATTTCACAGACGACGCCATGCCGTTCACATGCGTGCATGTGGCCTCGAAAGATGCGGTGTACTTTGGAGATTCAAGCTCCGACACCGCGTCGCCCAACCCGACATACCGGTACATCTGCATTGGCATCCTGACGACGACCGCAAGCAGCACGACCTCGGAGACAGGCACGATTAGTACGATCAGCACGACTGCATCCAGCACGAGCATGACTGCCACGACTCTGACTAGCAGCATCACTTCGACTAGCACGTCGGTTAGCAGTACGAGCGAGAGCAGCACGACCGTTTCCAGCAGCATTTCGACCAACAGCAACACTGCAACCAGCACGTCGGTGAGTAGCACAAGTGGCAGCAGCACGAGCATTACCAGCGGGACTGTGACCGGCAGCAGCACGAGCATGACTGCCACGACTGTGTCAAGCAGCACTTCTGCGACTAGTACGTCGTTTAGCAGTACGAGTGGGACCCTCACGAGCATTAGCGTTACCAGCAGCACTACGACCAGCAGAAGCGACACCACTACGACCGGTACCAGCGCCACGAGCTTGTCGGCGTCGTCGACAGCCACGACGACTTCCTACATGGACTACACGTTGCTGCCTCCCGGTCAGACGTGCCATGAGGCCGGCATGCAGGACATACAAGTGTCTGCAGAGTGTTTTGGCCCTGCCATGGTTTCCGTCAACCTCAGCTCCGCTGGAACTCAGGATTTCACAGACGACGCCATGCCGTTCACATGCGTGCATGTGGCCTCGAAAGATGCGGTGTACTTTGGAGATTCAAGCTCCGACACCGCGTCGCCCAACCCGACATACCGGTACATCTGCATTGGCATCCTGACGACGACCGCAAGCAGCACGACCTCGGAGACAGGCACGATTAGTACGATCAGCACGACTGCATCCAGCATCAGTGTTACCACGACTACAGGGTCTAGCAGCACCACAAGCGTGTCGACGTCGTCAACAGCCACGACGACCTCCTACATGGACTACACGTTGCTGCCTCCCGGTCAGACGTGCTATGAGGCCGGCATGCAGGACATACAAGTGTCTGCAGAGTGTTTTGGCCCTGCCATGGTTTCCGTCAACCTCAGTTCCGCTGCAACTGAGGATTTCTCAGACACTGGCGTATTGCCGTTGGCGTTCACTTGCGTGCATGTGGCCTCGAGCTTTGCCGTATATTTTGGAGACTCTAGCTCCGAGACCGCTGTGTCCACCCCGAACATCCAGTACATCTGCATTGGCATCCAGACGACGACCGCAAGCAGCACTTCCTCGGTAACAAGCACCGCCAGCGGCACGTCCTCGGTGACGGGCACGAGTGACACGACCAGCGCGACGTTGAGCAGCACAAGCTGGAGCAGCAGCACCAGCGTGTCCAGCAGCACTTCGATCAGCAGCCGCACGGCTACGAGCGTGTCGGTGAGCAGCACGAGTGACAGCAGCACGAGCATGACCACCACGACTCTGACTAGCAGCATCACTTCGACTAGCACGTCGGTTAGCAGTACGAGCGAGAGCAGCACGACCGTTTCCAGCAGCATTTCGACCAGCAGCAACACTGCAACCAGCACGTCGGTGAGTAGCACAAGTGGCAGCAGCACGAGCATTACCAGCGGGACTGTGACCGGCAGCAGCACGAGCATGACTGCCACGACTCTGACTAGCAGCATCACTTCGACTAGCACGTCGGTTAGCAGTACGAGCGAGAGCAGCACGACCGTTTCCAGCAGCATTTCGACCAACAGCAACACTGCAACCAGCACGTCGGTGAGTAGCACAAGTGGCAGCAGCACGAGCATTACCAGCGGGACTGTGACCGGCAGCAGCACGAGCATGACTGCGACGACTGTGTCAAGCAGCACTTCTGCGACTAGTACGTCGTTTAGCAGTACGAGTGGGACCCTCACGAGCATTAGCGTTACCAGCAGCACTACGACCAGCAGAAGCGACACCACTACGACCGGTACCAGCGCCACGAGCTTGTCGGCGTCGTCGACAGCCACGACGACTTCCTACATGGACTACACGTTGCTGCCTCCCGGTCAGACGTGCCATGAGGCCGGCATGCAGGACATACAAGTGTCTGCAGAGTGTTTTGGCCCTGCCATGGTTTCCGTCAACCTCAGCTCCGCTGGAACTCAGGATTTCACGGACGACGCCATGCCGTTCACATGCGTGCATGTGGCCTCGAAAGATGCGGTATACTTTGGAGACTCTAGCTCCGACACCGCGTCGCCCAACCCGACATACCAGTACATCTGTATTGGCATCCTGACGACGACTGTTACGTCGGTGAGCAGTACAAGCGGCAGCAGCACGAGCGTGACCAGCATGACCAGCAGGAGCAGCACGGGCAGCAGCAGGACTCTGACCAGCAGCAGCATCGCCAGCAGCAGCACCAGCATGACCAGCAGCAGCAGCAGCAGCATTACCAGCATGACCAGCAGCAGGACTCTGACCAGCAGCAGCAGCAGCACGAGCGTTTCCAGCAGCACTGCGAGCAGCAGCAGCACAGCGACCATTACGTCGGCGAGCAGCAGCACCACTGTGCACAGCACTACTGGCACTGGCAGCCGCATGTCATCTGGAACCAGCTCAACAAATATTGCTACCGATCGGATCCAAGACTCTGTTTCGAACAGTGAGGCGCCACTTCAACTAAGCGGATCGATTTGGGCTTCATTTGCAGATCCAGACGCGCTCTGGAATGATTCAGAGGCTGCGGATACTGTCTTGAACGCGTTTCGTCTCACAATCTCTCAGGTAGTGAGCATACCAGCGAGCTGCGTATCCGTTTGGTACGGAAAGTCCCGGAGGGTCAGGGCCGCCACGCGACGGCTCACGGGGGAAACCCTGGAGGTGGAATTCAGCATCGACGTGCCCCTAGACAGCGCTTCTGATGTTCCTGATGTTGTCGATGCGGAGGCATCCCTGAAACATGTGAGTATCATGTTATTCACGTCCATGCTACAGGATCACATGGACTCGAGCTTCGGGGACGGCGTGCATGTGGTTTCGGTGTTTGGAATCGAAGTGGTTGCCGTCGATGTTAGAGATGGTAACAAGGCAGGGTCGAGCGATCTATAGGCTTACGCCACATCCGCCGACCCCTATATAAACTATTGCGCCTCCGGGACTGCATTTCACGAGGCTTGTCCGAATCACGACACGGCGCTCGACATCGTTCCTGTTGCTTCGTTGCTGTTATCGTACCTCTTGGTGCTCTTTTCTGGCCTTTTGGTGGCATCTTGGCCCGTCTGCAGGCCATATCCGGCCGCCTCGAGGCATCTTGGGCTAAGTTTTGGGGCCTCTTGGGGGCTTCTGGGGGCTTCTTGGAGGCCTTTGAGGTTCTCTTGGGGGTCCCTCAGGGCCTCTTGGGCTGTTCTTGGGGCAGGCTGGGGGCGTCTTGGGGCCGAAGGATCGAAAAGGTGCCCTCTGGACTCCGTCTTGGAGCCGTCTGGGGGGCCCTCTTGGACTGTCTTGGGGGCTTCGTGGGCTGTTGTTTTGCCCTCTTCGACCCTTCTTGGGGGCCTCTTTGGCCGTCTGGGGGCGATATTGAAGGTTTCTTTGCCCGTTGTGGACGTTGTGAAAGCCGAATAGGCGAGCATGCTACAAATGCTTGTTTTTCGCAGGGAATGGGCCGATTTTTGTTTCTTGGGACCCTCTTGGGGCGCATCTTGGGGGCCTTTTGGGGCGTCTTGGCAGCTTCGGAGGCCGCCTGGAGGCCATCGTGGGCGTCCAGGGGCGATGTGTCGGCGAATCGTGGCCCCCCGGGACCGTCTGGGGAGCGTTGGTGCCTTTTTGGTCAGTTTTGGAGCCCTCCGCTCCCCCGTGATGCGTTCGGTCCGGGGTCGCGCTCGGCTCGGGGGGGGAGGGGTCAAATTGCCGGTTTGGGTCCCTGGGGGGGATTATGGGGGGGGAGAGTCTCACACGCCTACAGACCCACAAGGGGTCGGCGGATTCTCGGAGTCCTCTTTTATTATTCGTCTGCACTTGTGGGGCATTATGCTGTCTCGCTTGCCCATTCACGATGATGACGCTGCTTTCGCGCAGACGTCCAGTCCAAGCTCTGAGACCCGAGAAAGCTAAGATCCAGGTGCACAGAGACAGTACCGGGTGCATACCGCCCGCAGTCGGGGACGCATCGTGGTGGGTCCCGCCAGAGGACGAGGCGCCCTCCTGCCAGTCTGCCAACACCGCGAAGCTCTTGGTCGCCGATGACGGCGGCGAGCCCACATGTACCATTTGCTGACGCCTTCCTCAGGCAGAAGGGAGAGTTGCCCATGCAGAAGCAGCAGGCCACGCGTCCACAGAGACAGCGCAGATGACGCTGCAGGTGCGGCCAGCGCTGCAGACGCAGCCGCTGCAGTAGATGTCGTCGGTCCTAAAGGGACAGGCGGCGCTGAACTCGTCACTCAAGACTGATCGCGTGCTATTCATGCCCTCCCATCCGTGTATTGGTCTCGTTTTTTGCTTCCTCGGGGCCAGTCTGCTAGCTCAGCCAGCAGATCCTGGAACTCAACTGGGTTAGTGAATGCCCGCTGATAATTATTTGGCTGAGATTGCCGGTAAACCTGCCTGGTTGTTATCTGGCTCTCGCGCACCTCGTACCACTGGCTTGTGGATTCAGCAGCTAATGCTTTCCTTGGCTTTACGAAGATGTAAAGCGCAAGTGGCCGATACTTCCGATGTTGATCGTTCTCCTATTCCTCCACGTAGCCCTTGCTAGCCTGTCTTCGCACCCTGTGGCACTCTGGATCTTGATATGATAGGTGCCTCGTTGTCGAGTTGCGGCTCCTCTTCCTGCCGCAGTCGCGGTTCTGCCCCTCCTGATGGCGGGACCGCGAGAAGAAGACGACTGCGGCATGCACGCAACAAAACAAATATAAAAAACCATCTATGAGCACATTCGAGACGAACCGAGGCACTCGTGGTCCCCAACCTGGGTAGGAGGGGGGCGGGGGATGGGGACGGATGGCACGGGAGAGTGCGCACCGCTTGGTTGGCAGTCAAGACGTTGGAACGGACGGGAAACAGTTCGGGTTCAGACGTGGCGCGTTGCCCCTGAGGTCCTTCCACGGTTGCTCCTCTAGCGCTCCTCGTGCACCCAGCCGCTTTCGAGGCCAAAGACGAGACTCGTTCCTCTGTTTTGCGTTTCTTCTGGCTTGACCGCATATGCCTTCGGTCTTGTTCCGTCTCGGAGAGACTGCCGTTGTGGCCAAGGATGACGTTTGCCATGCTAATGCAGATTGGCGGTGATGAGCGTATGACTGTCATCTTTGCTCTGAGGCCTGCAGCCCAGTGTTGTTCGCATTTGGGTTATATGGAACGCCAGTGCATGCCGTTTCCGCGACGTTCGTCGTCGCCTTCTGTTGTTTCGATCTGACAACAAGAACGAGATGGTTCATGCCGTCATGTTTAATCTGTTGTAGTTGAGTGCCGGTGACGACAATATTCCATGTGTTTATCTGAAGGAGCGCTGCGCCATGTCCGCCGGCCCCCAAGGCTGAGCTATCTTGTGGCTATCTTGGAACAGCTTTGGGGCCATGGTGGGCCTTCCCGGGGCATCATCAGGCCTCTGGGGCAATCTTCTGGCCATCTTGGGCAGTACTGGGGCCATCTTGAGGCTTCAGGGGCCGATTTAAAGAGTGTCCTGGGGCCATATTGGGGCCCTGTTGGCCATTCCTACGCGATTTTGGCGGCATGTTGGTTTGAAGGCCACTTTCGGGCCATCTTGGGGCCTTTTTCTGGGGGCTGATTTACTAACATCTTCGGGGCACCAGTCGTGGCACGGATGGACTACTGCAAACACCATCGTCTTTCAGTGTTCAAAATGGCTCGCCCCATCGGGGGCATCTTGGCGCCCTCCAGCGCCATCTTGGAGGCATCTTTGGGGCCGTCTTGTGCTCGTGAGGCCCTCTTCGGAGCCTCCCGGGGCCGCTTCTAGGCCTCTTGGGGCCCTCCTGGCCGCGCGGTGGCAGTCTAAATGATGGGAACCCTTGGGCAACAACGAGCGGCCGGGAATTTGACGCGCCCCCGCGGATGGTTTTATGTTGCCGACAGAGGCCCTCGAGCAGAGAGTACTTTCAAGATAGGATTGGAGAGACAACGCAGCAAGAACACACGACATCAGTCCAGCAGGAGACTTCATCGTATCGTTTGTCACTTGTTGTTTCCAGAGTTGCATATTCGATGCCATGTGTTTGGACGGCTTCCCAGAGCGCCGAAGTAGCGGATGGGGTGTTTGTAGTGCCATGGCCGATGATGTTTTTTCTTCAAACCAGCTACTGCTGAATAATAGTGACGACCGCATTCTAGACACGTTTGTCTTGAGGCTGGGGGCAAGGCACAGAGCTCACCCTTGCAAGAGTCACGTGCTCGTTGCCACTGCACGGTTTCGTACTTGTCGTTTTGTGTACACTGTTTGATGGCGGACTCCGTCAGCCTGAACGGTTTCCCAGAGAGTTGTTGCATCGCAGGTGTTGCTGTACGACCAAGCGTTGCCACTGATGTGTCAGTTCGAACTAAACATTGCTGAGTGCCAGGGACGGCCATAACAGTGACGTTTTCGTCTTGAGGTTGGCATCAAGGCACACCATTATTCCAAGCACATTCGAGACGAACCGAGGCACTCGTGGCCCCCAACCTGGGTAGGAGGGGGGCGGGGGATGGGGACGGATGGCACGGGAGAGTGCGCACCGCTTGGTTGGCAGTCAAGACGTTGGAACGGACGGGGAACAGTTCGGGTTCAGACGTGGCGCGTTGCCCCTGAGGTCCTTCCACGGTTGCTCCTCTAGCGCTCCTCGTGCACCCAGCCGCTTTCGAGGCCAAAGACGAGACTCGTTCCTCTGTTTTGCGTTTCTTCTGGCTTGACCGCATATGCCTTCGGTCTTGTTCCGTCTCGGAGAGACTGCCGTTGTGGCCAAGGATGACGTTTGCCATGCTAATGCAGATTGGCGGTGATGAGCGTATGACTGTCATCTTTGCTCTGAGGCCTGCAGCCCAGTGTTGTTCGCATTTGGGTTATATGGAACGCCAGTGCATGCCGTTTCCGCGACGTTCGTCGTCGCCTTCTGTTGATTCGATCTGACAACAAGAACGGGATGGTTCGTGCCGTCATGTTTAACCCGTTGTAGTTGAGTGCCGGTGACGACAATAATCCATGTGTATATTTGAAGGAGCGCTGCGCCATGTCCGCTGGCCCCCAAGGCTGAGCCTTCTTGTGGCTATCTTGGAACAGCTTTGGGGCCATGGTGGGCCTCCCCGGGGCATCATCAGGCCTCTGGGGCAATCTTCTGGCCATCTTGGGCAATACTGGGGCCATCTTGAGGCTTCAGGCGCCCATTTAAAGAGTGTCTTGGGGCCATGTTGGGGCCCTGTTGGCCATTCCTGCGCGATTTTGGCGGCATGTTGGGTCCTTTGGGGGCCACTTTCGGGCCATCTTGGGGCCTTCTTCTGGGGGCTGATTTGCTAACATCTTGGGGGCACCAGTCGTGGCACGGATGGACTACTGCAAACACCATCGTCTTTCAGTGTTCAAAATGGCTCGCCCCATCGGGGGCATCTTGGCGCCCTCCAGAGCCATCTTGGAGGCATCTTTGGGGCCGTCTTGTGCTCGTGAGGCCCTCTTCGGAGCCTCCCGAGGCCGCCTTACAGGCCTCTTGGGGCCCTCCTGGCCGCGCGGTGGCAGTCTAAATGATGGGAACCCTTGGGCAACAACGAGCGGCCGGGAATTTGACGCGCCCCCGCGAATGGTTTTCTGTTGCCGGCCGCGGCCCTCGAGCAGAGAGTATTTACCTAACAGCGAAGACTGATAGGTTTCTAGTAGGGTCAAAAGAGAGCATCATGACGCCCCAGGGGGGTCTGGGCGCGATCGGGGGAGATGCCGGGGA